ACGTTCACTTAATACACGACAAATGATTTTTTTTTTCAGCAGTTTGCCTACTGCTAGTATTTTGCTTTTTGTTTTATAGTTGGTTGAAGCAGTGTAAAAATTATGATGCAGTGAAGTCAGCCTTTGTCCACTACTGGATGGCTGGTTTTTTTGACCGAATGAGCTTCTTTCTTACTGATGTTTTTTTTTTTCTTGAGCTATTCTTTCGAAATGTTGCTGAATGAGCTGAGTTCAAGCAACAACAGGTCCCGAAATATGCATTTCTGAAAATTCTGTCAATAATTTTCAGTTATTATGGCGAATTTGTACGGTTTTTTCGCGCTGGATGTGCTTCGTGCTATTTACACTTGTTTATCAATACTGGATAGTGGTCTTGTTTGCAGTGCATTATTTGATCTCCGTTGCACATATCGTCTTCTTACAGGTCAAAAATCAAACTTATGCTGAATTCGGCATTTGCTGTAGGCCGTTTTTGAACATTTTAACAAAGAAGTGTTTAATTTAGCCTCTGGAAACGGGATCGAATTGCAAATTTCTGGAAGTGGGCCTGATCGCTATCTGTGCAGCAGTTCATCTTTTCGCACCGTACAACATGGCTGAGGGTCGAACACGTTACAGATACATCGTGGCCTATTGTATAGAAGCGATCGAAATTGTTGTATGCTTTTTCTGATTCAAACACTCATGCATCAAGCAAATTAGAAATTTACTTGCAGCGCTTGGATTTCGGTACATTTATAGTGTGAGGTGCTTTAAGAGATGCCCTTTATCCCATTCTACCCGTTTTCACTTTGTGAGTATTCGGAAAAAAATCAAAAGCTTCGTCAAATAAGCAACCTCTGGCGTATTATTGCCTTGATCACACAGGAAATAATATTAGTTGACTTGGACACGTTACTTGTCTGACTAGCAATAAGTGAACATGTATGAGCTTTAGACGGAAGTGACCCTTCGACTGGTATGCAAAAAGATTGCAATTATCGTTACAGATGAGAAGTAAAGGTTACTACCCAAGCTAAGGCAATCTGTGTCAAAATTCAGCTGTATTCCTCTCCACGCTGGGCCAACAACGCCAAACAAACTGCATATGTTAACACACAGAAGACTTCAGGCTCCCGTCTTCTTCCAATCCTCTAAAACCAGAGATATTCACTGTTTGCATCTTTAAAATTTCTGAAACATATAGTAGCTTTTTTTTTATGTGGCTTTCGTCAACATCTCTACACTGGTACTCAGTACAGTGGTAATGATATATTTAATATTTTTGGAATTTTAGCTAATCGTTATTTTTGCATATGTATTAGTTATGCTCCTGGGCCACTCGGTTATCACTGACATCCACTTTTGGTGGTGTTACTGGAGAGTTTTCGCATGCCAGGCATGCTATAGTAGGCGGCTCTCTGATTGCTCGACTGCATATCTTCAGTTAATACTCATCGCCTTTTTTCATTTGTTTTTGCACCACCTTTTTTTTTTTTTATAGGTGCTGGTAAATATGGTCACTTACTGTGAACAGTACAGCTTTCCATACAGCAGATTTATAGCGATCGGAACATATTTGTCATTTTTATTGGGAATTTTCTTTATGCTTATTTACTACGGTCGTTGCCATCCAAATCTACTACAGCATGAGGAAAATGATGCTCCGGATTCATGTTCATCTACACGTTACGAAACAGCCCTATCGCATCTGAACGAGGAAGGAGGAAGCCAAACAAGCGGATTCTCTCAGTGTCTCTCATCGTGAACAATCATATAGAGTAGATGCCGAAATAAATTTTTGTTGTGTTGTATAGTTATTTGCAAATGTTCACTTCTTACACTTTCCAAATTTTTGTTTGTTTTTTTTTTTTTTCACAGACATTTTTTCTTTTTTGTTTTTGATCGCTTTTTCTCCCAGGCAGATGTGACCAAATTGCTATGTTCTGGTGCTGATATATTTTTCAACGCATTTATTGTGTTTTCATGTTCAATTTCGCAATGCATATTTTGTTGTACGGGTCAGATTTTGTACACTCACTACCTTTCTTTGTGCTTTATTTTTTTTTATGTTCAAAAATTTATCTTGTACATTGACAGCGCCCCATCTTTTTTGGCATTTTTTATGTATTTCATTTATTGCTCTTTGATGGCTGTGCAGCAGAATCCGAATTTGGGAACCACCTCCAAATTTTCTTGTCCAAAAATCCAGTTGACATTGCTCTGGTTATTGTGCATATTTGGTAACGTCTGTAGCTTCAGTAATTAATTGTTTGGATTAGTTTATCGTTTTCAAGAAAAAAAAAAAGAAGAAACGCAAGTTAGCTTATTTCTATGATCCAAAAATGTAGATGGGAGCAAGTCATTTTCATGTTGCTGGGGTACCAGCAACAACCCGGCGCTGAGCTGTTGCAAATGCACTGTTTTTGCAGCTGGTCAGATGGCCAAAAACTTTGCAAATCTGTACTGATAAAAATTTTGGAAGAATGGCCGACGGACGATCAGAACAACCACTAATTGGGCAGTAGTATTCATTAGCAGCAAAGTGTTTATAATATCTTTCGGAGTGGGTCACTCTGTTTTCATATGAGTTCGTGTTGGTGTTGTAAAGTTCAATAGCTAATAGTTTTGTTCAGTTTTTTTTTTTTAATTGTTAATAAATATTTTTCTATAAATGCTTTCACAGTGAATACAGCAGTCCTGGGCTCTTCAATCCTGGGCTCTACCAAATTGTCTGAGGATAGTATTTTTTCATTGGAGAATCTGTTGCTAGTGCTGGAATCACTATCATCCAAGCAAAATCGAATCGCTGCACTATACTTCGGTCCAGCATTTTATTGCTAAATGCCTGAATTGCGCTGAAGACGCATGGCGTGCGCGAGCATTTTGGAGTGAAGACGGACGAGAAAACCCATTGATTCCACTTGAGCTGCGTCAAATGCCAATGTTTTGTCACAGAACAATCTTCTTGTGCAGCTGCAGAAGTGCGGATGTAGAAGCATCTACTTCAGTCCTAGTACTCACATGTAGTGCATTGTTGATGATTACAGTAGCTGTTTCTGATTATTCCTGAAATACGAGGATCACACCACTCCACAGTTGGTTGGCGATACTCTCAGCAGTACACTCGTTCCCGGAAGGTATCATCTGGTGAGCGGTATTGTTATTGGCTAATCTAGGATTATTTGTCTGGGAGTTGAGAAGGGCCACTGAATGCAAATTTGCCCTCGTATTGTTGTCAAATTAGTAATCAGCATTCGTCAACATGGATGAGCTGATCACTATTATTTCAACAGTACGGATTAACTCATTCCTCCGGATTTGTCACCGTGCACCCATCACTCATCTACCCCGGTTTTCTGACAAATGCTTTTTGTTCTACTTTCTAACTGATAACAGTAGAATGTGCTGGGAGTTTTCTTGATTCAAAAAGGAGCATTCACAAGGGCTCTCAAATTCTCAGGCTCATTTTAAGGCATAGAGGCATTCATTTGCGATGCAGTAGGTAGTTGTTTTTCTAGAAAAAACAATAGTTTGGTGATAAATGGAAGTTAAAAGATTTCATTTTTGAATGTCTGGAAAGCGAACTGCAGTACTGTAATATTCCAGTCACTTCTGTGATAAGCAAATCAGTGAACTTGTAAGGGAATCGGATTTTTCTAAGCGGCTAACGCTCGCACTTGCTCTACGCAATTACAAAATGCATAGCGACGAATCACTACAGTATTGGAAACTATAGGCATTCAGGATTCGGGTTCTCACAGAAGTTCCTGACTTGATTACAGTAACTTTTGCGTGTCGGGCCCAATTCTGAACCGTTGCTGCTACTTATAGGTCTCATTGCCTTCTTGTAGTGCCTCATAATTCATCTAAACAACTGTTTCATCAAGATGATTCTATTAACCACTGATGCAACTGGCTTCATTCTGGGCTTTCCTTTGTCGAAGAATTCTACAGATCTGTTCGAAACGATCCTTGCGCACATTGGCGGTTTACCCTGTGTTCTTTTAACATTGCGCAAGTACCATCCAACAATCCGCTTGCTCTTTTGTTTTCTCATTTTTAGTACACGGCCGGTCTAGTCTTCTTGGCGTACATCATCACCTTGATAATGTCACTCAGGCTAGGCCAAGCCGCAGTACTTTACCGAAGATGTGTTAAGGAGTTTATTGAATACCTTGTGTCCATGACTCGTTGGATTACCGCTAGTTTTCTTCCTCGACAACAACGATGGTATTGTATGTCCCGCTTTCATGACACATATTTTGTTAAAATGAATTTTGAAATGCTTTATTGAAAATTGCTGCGGAGGGCCAGTGTTTGGGAAGATCGTAGTTGGCGCTGTGTTTATGCCTTTTAAGTTCGTTGTGAGCAAGTGTTGCTGGTTGTTCACACAAAGTGGGTCTTGGATTCGCACTATTTGTTAATATCGTTAATACCCCGGATTGACACATTGCCCAGTGCGGAAGCATTCTGTTTCAGCTCCATTTCTCACCATATACAACCAAGCTATTTTCGTAAACAGATTGCATTAATATCGTTAACTTAAGCTTCAGCACCGCTAACAGTGGAATCGCCTCATCAAATCATAATCACTAACAACAGCTAAAATCATTCATCATAGCGTTAATGAGTATTTGCTCATATCTGAAGCATGTTCCCTGTTTTTCGGATCGTAGCTGCATCGTTCCGGGATCCTCTGAATTGCACTATAGGATTTTCCTACCCTAGAACGCTCTATTTCAATTTCATAATGAAGTCAGAAATGCAGCAAAAATCACTGCCCCAAAATATTTCGCGGGAAATGATAGGTTCTGAAATTATAAAAAAAAAAGCTAATGGGAACTGATCAAGCATCTGAATCCGTAGCGCATCCAAGAAAAAAATGCATTTCAGTTTTTGTATTGCACTGCTACTTTTTTCGCTACTTGTTTTTCACTGACTGCAACACTTAAATTTGCTGCCTTTAGGCACAGCTTAATGCATGGTACCTTTGTTTTTTTTTTACCGTGGAATTGGCGATAACCATAAAACTTTGCGCTCCTAGATTTCATTCATAGCATTGTTTCAACCAGTTCGCCCCTAAATACAGTTGGAAATGAAAAGTCCGGTGATACGGCAGTGACAAGCTTGTATTTTGCAAGATGTGAATCAAATTGACTAAATGGCGATGGTGCCACCGTTCTGTACTGTGGCGTATAAATGGCGCTGTAGTTGTTGATGGTAACTATGCTGTTGCTGTGAGAGGCTGACATTAGTACTGGATGGCGATGCTGTTGATGATAGCAATAGTAATAACAATAATAAACAATGACAAACATTTTCGTGGACACTAATAAGATTCCGCTTAAGCATCCATGTAACCGCGAGCAAGAAAAAGGGTCTGTTAAAATTTGTCAATTTCGACGGCAGTGATGGCAGCTATTGCAGCCTTTAGTTGACTGTGTAAAAATCTCTGACAAAATAACTTTTTTATCCAGAAAAATTCATTTTCTTGTAAAATACCATTATTGGTTAGTAGGTGACACATTTGAAAGCGCATCTCCTCCACCCTCTTCCGCCATTCTTCCTTCACTGCGCCATATTATTATAATTGAAGATTTCGACATTTTCCGCTTCGCTGAATTTCCCCACGGTTCGGTTTACAATAGCTGTAGGAATAGCGAGAAGCACAGGAAAAGGTAAGTTAGGAGGGACAGTGAATTAGTCATAAAAAGCTCGAAAACTGTGTAGAGGCTGCCTGGATGAACGGAAGTTTGCATCATTGGAACCAATCGAATTACGTCAATTGATGCGCTCATTGCAATAATGGACAGAAACATATAACTGCGCGTTATGCAAAAATAATGCTCGTCACATTAGCACCTCGGTTTGCCTTTCCCAATGCCCTTAATACTTCCAGCGATTTTTAACAAAAAAAAAAAA